GTGAGTTCAGGTCGAAGGCTTTTGATGATTATTATTTAGCCATGGGCATTAAGGTAGAATATTCAGTACCACATGTCCACACTCGAAATGGCCTAGCTGAGTCCTTGATCAAGAGGATCAAGTTGATTGCACGGACACTGTTGCAAGATTGTAGGCTGCCAACCAGTTGTTGGGGCCATGCTGTGTTGCATGCAGCAACACTAATCCAACTCAGGCCAACTGCATATCATAGTACATCCCCCCTTCAGCTAGTGCGTGGAAAAGAACCAAGTATTTCCCATCTGCGTAATCCCACCACCACAGCGTACTTCTATAGGACCCCACCGGAAGTTGGGGATATACGTTGGTTATGAGACTGTCCATAATCAAGTATCTTGAGCCTATGACTGGGGATCTTCATACGGCTCGGTACGCTGATTGTATCTTTGATGAGGACCATTTCCCAACATTAGGGGGAGTAAGGCATCTAGAAGAATGCCGAGATGTAATATGGAATGCAACTGGGATGCAGTCCTTAGATCCACGCACTAGTGAAGTTGAACTGGAAGTTCAGAGAATCATAAATTTGCAAAATATTGCAAATAAGTTGCCAGATGCCTTCACTGATTACAAGGGAGTGACAAGGTCGCATATACCTGCAGTAAATGCGCCGGAAAGAGTAGAGGTAACTCAGAAGGTTACTGACTCTGCTCTTACCCCCCATCCTAGAAAGAGGGGGAGACCTCCGGGTGCTCGGGACAAGGTTCCGTGGAGACGTCCGCAGAGACAAGAACCTGAGCCACTTGTTCCACTCAAAGAATCGATTGAAGAAGCTCAACCTGAAGTTGAGAAAGCCCCAGAAGAGGCAACTCAACCTAAAGTTGAGAAAGCCCCGGAAGAGGCAACTCAACCTGAAGTTGAGATGGTCCCAGAAGGACACCATCCTGAAGATGAAGAACCCAGTGTTTTACGCGTGTACCTTGGCACTAGAAGATCGGAACACTCCAACTCGGTTGTTATGGGAAATCACGACGAGCTGGAGGAAATAAATGAGGAGATTTCCACTAACTATGCTGATACAGGAGAGTTACATCATAGAAAGACCACTATTGTCGACAAACACTTTGCTTCAAAGATTGCTGATATAATGGATCCGGATCCAGAACCAAAGTCCATGGCTGAGTGCCAGAAGCACTCAGATTGGGACAAATGGAAAGCAGCAATAGAGGCAGAGTTGCGCTCGCTTTATAAAAGAGAGGTTTTTGGGCCTGCAGTCCCAACAACTCCAAAAGTCATCCCTGTAGGATGCAAATGGGTCTTCCTCCGGAAGAGGAATGAACATGGCTAGGTGGTGAGGTATAAAGCGAGGCTAGTGGCACTAGGGTTCACGCAGAGACCCGGTATTGACTATGATGAAACTTACTCTCCTGTGATGAGTGGAATCACGTTCCGATACTTGATCTCAATGGCAACTAATATGAATTTGGATATGCAGTTGATGGATGTAGTGACCGCATACTTGTATGGGTCACTAGATTCGGAAATTTATATGAGGGTCCCTGAAGGACTCAAGATTCCGAATCCGAAAGGAAATCGCAACATGTATAGTGTTCGCCTGCAGCGATCATTATACGGATTGAAGCAATCCAGAAGGATGTGGTTCAATCGGTTAAGTAACTATCTCCTGAAGAGAGATTACTTAAACAATGATCATTGTCTCTGTGTGTTTATAAAATCCCTGAATGGATTTTGTATCATCTCGGTCTATGTCGATGATTTTAATATCATTGGCACCACAGAGGACATCAAAGAAGCAATGGCTTATCTTAAGACCGAGTTTGAGATGAAGGACTTGGGGAAAACCAAGTTCTGCTTGGGCCTGCAGCTCAAGCACCTCCCTGAAGGAGTGTTTATGCACCAGTCTACCTATACCAAGAGGGTCCTTGGTAAGTTCAATATGGATAAATGTCATCCATTGAAAACCCCCATGGTGGTCCGATCCCTGGAAGCAGATAAGGACCCATTTAAACCCAAGGAAGATGATGAGGAAGTGTTGGGACCTGAAGTTCCCTACTTAAGCGCCATTGGAGCACTAATGTATCTAGCCAATTGCACGAGACCTAATATTGCTTTTGCAGTTAATCTATTAGCTAGATATAGTGCAACCCCAACCAGAAGACATTGGGTTGGTGTCAAAACTATCCTCAAGTACCTTCGAGGTACTCAAGATCTTGGGTTATGGTTCCCAAAGAACCAAGATCCATCCATGGTGGGATATGTGGATGCTGGCTATATGTCGAATCCTCGTAATGCCAGATCTCAGACTAGGTTTGTATTTCTTTGTGGTAATACTGCCATTTCCTGGCGGTTTGTAAAGCAGACCCTGGTTGCAACGTCAACCAACCACTCAGAAATAATTGCTCTATATGAGGCCACACGAGAATATGTGGGGCTTATGCGGATGATCGGTCACATCCAGAAGTCATGTGGCCTAAACATTGATAACACCCCCACCATCATCTATGAGGATAATGCTACTTGTGTTGCACAAATACATATGGGCTATGTGAAAAGCAATTTCACAAAGCATATTACTCTCAAATTCTTTTATCCCCATGAGCTCCAGAAGAGCGGGGAAATAAATGTCCTGCAAACTAAGTCATGCGAAAATCTCGCAGATTTATTTACAAAGTCTCTGCCAGCATCAAGTTTTCATAGATGTGTTCGTGGCATCGGCATGAGACGACTTAGTGAATTGCAAGAATCAGGGGGAGCAAACAATTAAGAGAATAGCCCATGATTATGATCCTGAAGAATCACAAACAAGTCCTGAAGACTTGATCAACTGTTGTACTCTTTTTCCCTTGGTGAGTTTTTTTTCCATTGGGTTTTTCTCACGCAAGGTTTTTAACGAGGCAACAGGTGCAACACAATATTCAAAGTGCCATGTACTCTTTTCTCCTACCATTTTTTCCCACTAGGTTTTTGGGATGAGTTTTTATGAGGCATGCGCATAATTCAAATTCGTCCAAGGGGGAGTGTTATGAAACCTATCTTATTGTGGACGAATTAAATTATAAGTGGGAAGCTTACTACAGAAGAAAGCTTACGCTAGAAGCCAGCTTAAAGAGGAAGCCAGCTTACGGCACAAGTCAGCTTACAGAGGAAGCCAGCTTACAGGAGAAGCCAGCTTACGGCGTAAGCCGGCTTACGACGCAAGCCAGAAGGTCCAAGGCTTACGACGTAAGCCTCCACCCTCCTCCGCCTATAAATAGGGCCCAGAAGGTCCAAGGCGAGGACAATCGATCTTCGGTCTCCTGCTTCTCCTCTTGTAGCTTGTACTCAAATCCAGAAGAAATAAAGCTTCCACTCGCTCATACTTTCTGTGTTCCACAACTCTGTGTTTGGTTTGCTTGTGTGCTGATCAGTAGAATCGACAGGTTTCTCAACAATTTTAACCATTCTGTGGTCACAACTGAAAGATTATCAGCAGATATACATTTGCTATTCTGACGCCCCATATATATATAATCAAGGAACACATGCGTAAAAAGAAAATCCAATTTTATTGCAGGCTAAATGTTCAATTCAGCCACAACATGCACATGCAGAGGGACAGCCAGTAGTTGCACTTGAGCATTAGATAACAAAGGAGTCCAGTTACATTCCTCCAAATGCAATTGAAATAAGTTCACTTTGGGTCCCTGCCTAGTCCGATTTTCATCCCCTCGTCACAAAACCGGATACGATGGGTCCCCCAACTTACGAAACCGTTTAAATGAGGTCCCTCGGCGGTATTTAGTCCAGTTTTAGCTGAGGTGGTACCTACGTGGCTTCTTTTGACTAGGTCTTTATCCAAAGTGTCGTTGATGGGGTGTTTATGTGGCAATTAGATTCGAAAAAATAATAAAACACGTGGGACCCACATGTCAGTTTCACACACAAATAACAAAAAAAATTGTGGGCCCATGTGGATCCACACGTCATGCTCACTACCTCTTCTCTCTATCCCCTCTCTCTCTATCCTCTCTCTCTCCCTCTTTTCTCTCTCCAGCCGGCGAAGCAGGGAGGGCGGCTCTTGCCGACACCGAAGTCCCTGATGAGCAGGATCTTGAAGCTGCACCCGTCCTCACCACCGCCGCTGCTCCCCGCCCCCGGTGGCGCGGCCCACAACGCCGGCCGTTGGTCGAAAATTCCCCATTCCAAAATCCCAATCGCGTCGAATTGAGTGAAGCCATGAACAGTGTGGGTGCAGCGTCCAGGCTAGGTGGCGAGCCTCTGCAGACTGCAGGCCGGCGCGGCGGTGCTTGCCCGCTCCTAGTGCCGCGGTGCCACCTGGCCTGCACGGCTGTGCGCCTGCGTGTAGCAGCCCAGCTCTAAGCCGAGCAGGCAGCAACACCAACAAGTCAGCAAGGGCAAGGCAGCAAAGCAACTAGCCCGATTCAGCACAAATGGATAGAAAGGGGAAAGGAAAGGCTTTGGCATCATAAAAATGTAACATTTGTTGAGTATTTGACAAATGACAAGTGAAAACATTGCAATTTGCAAAAGTATAATGAACAATTTGTCATTGATTCACATGTCTGTAATTTTCCGTAATTTTGTTTGTAGATTTGAAGAGCTATTTCACCAGGTAGTCCAGTAGTTGCCGAGCAGTATGCTTTCATTCCACAGCGCGGCGGGGGGAGAAGTCGCACGACCTCGACGGCACCGTCGTCGGCGGGCCCAACGGCAACAACGTGTTCACCGACCACCGGGGCGCGTACCTACAGACGGAGGCCTGCACGTACAACACGGCGGCCATGGTTGGCGTCTTCTCTAAGCTCATGGAGGTCGAAGCCGAGCGCGGCGCCTCTGCCCGCTCCGCTTACGTCGCCGGCGACGCGCAGGCCAACCTCAAGACCCTGGTCGATGGCCTCGTCGCCAACGGCAACACCAACATCAAGGTGGACGCCGGCACGCACCCGCAGACGGCCACAGGCCACGGGCGGCTCCTCTGCTCCCAACGGTCGGCGCCCCGCGCCCCTCCGGCCACCGCCGCGCTGCGACTTCTCCCCCGTCGGCCGGCCGCTCCGCCCACGACGCGCCGCTTCACCCCTCGTCTCCGCCCCTCTCTGCCTCTGCCCCTCTGCTCTGCCGTCGCCCACTCCGCCCGCCGCCCACTCCACTCCGTCGGTTGGAGAGAGAGATGGATAGAGAGGATAGAGAGAGAGGGGGATAGAGATATGGTGGTGAGGATGACGTGTGGGTCCACATGGGCCCACCCATTTTTTATTATTTGTGTGCGAAACTGATACGTGGGTCCCACGTGTTTTATTATTTTTTCATCTAATTGCCACATAAGCGCCACGTCAACGACACGTTGGACGAAAACCTGGTCAAAAGGAGCCACGTAGGCACCACCTCAGCCAAAACCGAAGACAGTACCGCCGAAGGACCTTATTTAAACGGTTTTGTTAAGTTGGGGGACCCATCGTACCCGGTTTTGCGACCGGGGACGAAAATCGGACTAGGTGATAAATAGAGGGACCCAAAGTGAACTTATACCAATGCAATTTCATATCAAACAGTCACGGATGGGCTTTAGGAAAGCAGAACTGGGCCCGGCCCAGTAGATCACATAGCCCAACAAGATCTAAACCGCATGCTCTCGTTTCAACAAATTATCACACCGATTGCATTTGCATCTGCTGCACAGGCTAAATCAAACACGTAGCCATGAACCATTCACCTCACAAGTCACAAGCATTGCATTTCTATGGTTACCAGTGCAGGACGAAATGCTCAACTAGCCCAAGCAAGAATGGAGCATGACAACCTCAGGCACCAAAAGCTCTATAAATATTTGCATTGCACAAATCAAAAGTTTCCAAGTTTTAATCAGAGAAGTTCAAGATATCAGAAAGAACAACACATACCAGGATGTCTCAGCTCAAGTCTTCTAGCCTGGCTGCACTGCTGATCTTCCTCCTGGCAGTGTTCACCACTGCAGCAGCAGCGGCAGGTACAGAATGCCAGAACGATGTCGAGGTGCTGAAGACAACCTGCTACAAGTTCGTTGAGAAGGACGGGCCGAAGCTGCAGCCATCACCTGACTGCTGCACCTCCATGAAGGGCGTCAACGTGCCCTGCGTCTGCACCTACCTGGGCAGCCCAGGCGTCAGGGACAACATCAACATGGATAAGGTGTTCTATGTCACCAAGCAGTGTGGCATCGCCATCCCCGGGAACTGCGGAGGTGAGCAGGCTTCACTTGATTGGCCACACTGATCACCTGGGTAAGAACTGACAATAACACGCCGGCTCCTCTGGATTGCGACTTCCAGTGGGGCCCAGGTGTCGGTGTCAGCTGGGTAAGTTGGTGTCATCTGGTATGGGAAACTTTGATGTTTTGTACATGTGGTGGTGCTCTTGTCAACATTATATAGATAAGGAGAGAATAGGACAAACATGACGCTTGAATAGCAGAAGAGAAGTTCTATCCAGCAATATCAAAAGTACAGCTGTCATTTTCAAAAAATGTAAAACAAAAATAAAACGAAAAACCCACTATACTAGTGCCAATAAAAGAAGAAACAAAAGAGAACTACATTATTGTCAATGCCATTTGTTGATGTTATTATTACTTTTGTTTATAAGAATAACAATTGTACTTATAAGGCCTACGATTTATTACAGGATCCAAGGTCTAAAACAAGAACTGATTGACTTGGTGAAGTTGGCTGACAAAAGCAAGGCACCTAGCAGTTGCACGGCTGATATAGGTAAATAATGTTGGTCAACTTTTAGAGTACACGGATTGTACGTCAACCTTCAGCATGTTGTGATAACAAAATATGTATCAATGATGGTTGTCTATATACACTGAAAATGCAAGAGTATTTTTAAATCACATGTTGTATTGAGTATTGACCCAGCTATCAACTGTTTGTTGATGTGCCCTGTTCCTTAGTCTGATAAATGCTAATATAGCACATTGCTAAAAGCATAAATAAATATCTAGACATATTGGACAGGGTGAACGATGAAGAAATGTCCAAACTCCAAATATGAGTAGGATAAGTTTGAAAAATAACAAAGTAGCAATATATAAAAACAATCTAGGGATGCTCTGCAACATTAAAATCAATCACATATTCAGCAATCTGCATCTGCCAATACAAAACAATCAAAATTAATTTTCATACGCAATATGTAGGGCACCATGATATGCAAGATCCTTCTTAAAACAATTTTCTTGGAGTTCCCATGCTTCTAAAAATTGTAGATGAGCAGTTGACTTATATGCTAGTGTTTTGATTTTGAGTAAATTTCCCAGAACTACAGGTATTTTGACCAAACTATCGCGAAACTATAGATTTAAGGTGTTCTGTCACAAAACTACATATTTAGCACAAAATTTATCACAAAACTACAGATTTAAGGTTAACATCACAAAACTGAATATTTAATATTGAAGTTATCACAAAACTACAGCTTTTAGAGTTTAAATCCCTAGAACCGTTGTTATGTTGGAGCTATACACATTATTATTTTGTTCCTAAATTGGTTCTAAGCCTATAGTTTTATGATAATTTAGTTACTAAACATGTAGTTTTGTGACACTTCATTTTAAATGTGTAGTTTTGTGATAAATTTGGTATTAAATGTGTAGTTTTCTTTTGTTTTTGAAGCTGAATAATGTGAAATTGCTTAAAAGTTATAAATAGCCTGGTCAGGAACCAAAGCTTCAGAATCCCACTCTTGCAATCCAACTAGACAGAAGTAACAAGAAAAACAATCAGCTAAATTTTTGGCCAACTTTACAGGTACACATATAATCTGTTTAAAATGCCTCTTGAATTACAATTCAATAATCCCAACCAATTTTACTGACAGATTGATTGCTAGAGATTTGTACAACCTACGGAGAACAAAACTCCGATAGAACAATCATGAACAACAGAAAAAAAAAATCTACTCTAATTACACATTGCAGCAAAGAAATTACTAACCCATGTCTGCTGGTCTTGCTGCCAAAATCACCTGGAGGCTCTGGACTGGAAGAGTTCCAGCCTTCCCTTGGCATCTGGAAGTAGTGCATCGACACGCATGTCCTGTATCATGTGAGCCTGTTTTGATGCCCAGAGAAGCACAGCAAGCACACCAGCTTGAGCCAGCTCCTCACTTTCTGGCACGTGCAATGCAATGAAACAGAGCAGTATCAGTGCCTCTATCTGCACCTCATCACCGAGATACACCAGCTGGACAAGGTGGCGAGCACCACCGCTGTCCACGATGGCCTTGCAGTGGTTTACATGCAGGTGGTTTTCATTGCATGCGAACTTGGTGAGCGCAAGCACGGCCTCCTTAATGACTGGTGGCTCACGCTCATCGAGCAGCTCCACAAGGGGAGCGATGACGCGGTTCTCACTCGCTGTGAAAGTGCGTGCAAGGCAGCCAAGAGCAGTAATGCAAGGGAGCAAGAGATCATCGTAGTCTCCCTTGCTGACAATGTGAAGCAGCTGGTCGACGACAGCCTTGGCTGCTGGAGAGCTAGGCTTGAAAGCCGACTGTCGCAGGGCAAGGCTGTGCTCAGCGACACGGGAAATTTCCATGATTGCCATTGCTGAGAAGTACTGTACGCTAGTACCCATGCCACCATCACCCTTCTCAAGAAGCACCGCGAAGCAGAGCAGTGCACGCGAATCAGTAATGCTCTTGCAGACACCTAGATGACCGCGGGCAAGCTTCCACAGAGCTCTCGCTGCCATGGCCTTTAGCCGTGCCTTGGTCTCCGGATCCTCCACCTCCCGGACAGCACCACGGCCACTAGAACCACTCGTGCCCAGCTGTGGCCTGAAGGGTGGAACCAACGACCCATTCGTCTTAGTCTTAGCAGCCATCGCGGATTGCACGACCGACTGCATCTGATTCCTTTTCGTGTCTTGCTCATTGGACACCCTTGGGGGCTCATCGGTGGAGGAGGAGGTGCCACGGTCACCACCGTGGCGCATGCTGAGCGTCTTGGCAAGCACGACAGAGTGCAGCGACGTCATGTGCTGAGGTGCAGCAGCGCTGTTCTTGGAGCTGCTGGAGCCGACGGAGTACCTGCTGTGCTCCTGGATGGTCCCTGAGGCGAGGTGACCGACGAGATAGCGGACGGCGTTGTTCTGCGCAAAGAGCTCCTGGCACGTAGCGCTCCGGTCAGCGAGAGTACCAATGGCATCGGCAACGGCAGCCTGCACGCGCATGGGTGGATCCTTGAGCGCCGCGGCGAAGACGGAGCACACCCCGGCCTGGACGAGCTTATCGATGCTCTCGTCGTCGCAGCCGAGCAAGCCGAGCGCGCGGGCGGCGGCCTCCTGGCCGTCGTCGGTGCCTTCCTTGAGCAGCCTAAGCAGCGGCGGCACGCCGTCCTCCTCGATGATGAGCTTGGCGAAGTGCTGGCTGTCGCGGGCGAGGGAGGCGAGGTTGGCGGCGGAGTCGGCGCGCGCGGCGAGCCCGCCGGTGTGGAGGCGCGCGACGTGGTCCCAGATGAGGAACAGTATGGGCTCGTTCTGCGCGATGTTGGGGAGCCCCCTCAGGTCGCCGTCGTCGCCGTCCCCGTCGTCGTCGCCGCCGCCACCACCACCACCACCACCACCACCGGAGCGAGGCGAGGAGATGCGCAGCAGCCACGCGACGTCCTCGAGCGCGGTGTCGAGGAGGGCGACGGTGCGGGGGAACCCCGCGGCGGGGCTGAGCGTGAAGAGCCGCCTGAGGCGCGGGTGGCCGCTGGCGCAGCGCGCGGCGAGGGAGGAGGCCTTGAGGAGCGCCTGCTGCGCCCCGGCCATGATGCGCGCGGCGGGGCGGTCGTACAGGTCGGCGCGCGCCGCCTGTCGGAGCAACGCCGCGAGCTTGTCCGCCCGCGCCTTGAGCTCGCCGCACTCCGCGCGGAAGCACCGCGCCGCGCCGCACTGCTTGGCGACCTCGTCGGCCAGCTGGATCGGCCGCGCCAGCATCGCCTTCACCCCCTCCCCCATCCCAAAAGAAAAACCAAACGATTCTCCGCCTGCTCCGCCTCCGGGAACCAGAATTCCTTCGAGAATCGCGTCTCCGCGGGGCTGAATCGGCGGGCGGCGAGGGATTTGGGGGGGAATTCCGAATTCGGGGTGGGGGATTTGGGGTTTTTGGTTTGCTTGGTGGAGTTGCGAGTTGGTGGAGAGGTGGGTCGTCGAGTCGAGTCGAGTGGAGAAGAGAGAGGGGAGAGGGGAGGTGGGGCCCACGGGCGGTGACCGTGTCGTCGGCCGCGTGTGTTTGCTGTTCTTGTTTTCGCCGTGGTTTCTCTGGAGATTCCCGGAAGATAGGGTGGGCGTTATCCTGGCCGTCCGATTCGGGCCGGTTGCAAAGTACCCCTTCTTTGGAGTATGATCCTTCTTTTTTTTTATTTCTTTATTATTATATTGTTTTCTTCGGCGAGGGGGATTACGACCGTTGACTCGTTGACCATGAATATGAGCTAGTACTTTTTTATTTTTTTAATATTTCTGGTGACAGTTGTTTGTTTTTTTTTTCTTTTTGGGTTTGGATTGTAGTTATCCAGGGGGAATGTACAACTGTATTTGGTCCTGTTCTGGAAACTGATAAATTCTAGTAACAAGGAATAACTGGGGTGTGGCCAATGAGATTTTGGAAATTATGGGTTTCCATGGTTATGGCTTTTTAGTGTGATACAACCATATATTCTCATAATTTGAGTAAAAATCTTAAACATCGTTTAAGGAGCTAAAGATTTTGAAAAAAAACAGTAGATAGTAAAAACTCCTTCCAAACATAGCCTTTATAGTACGATATGTATCAAATATAGCGGTCTTAAAACGAGTTACACCACGAGATAACTAAAAGGGGACACATTTATCCATGCTAAGGAATTTCATGGCTTTGGAGAAAAAAATTATCGGTTGCAAGAGCCAGGGGCTTTCTGTTTTGGCAAAAATTTTCTTTCGCGGTTTTGGATTGATGCATAATATATAGAGCCTATAGTTCCTCATGGTGGGGAGCACAAAGTTGTCCCCTAGTAGGAGCATAAGAGCATCAACCGGATATCTCCCTAAAAATGGCCAAACATGCATGTCACTATATTACATTTGACTAGCTCTATATGGTCTTATGGCACAAGGAATATGCCCATTATTTTTACCTTATTCTGAATAGGAGATGATTCTTTTTTTACCATATATTTGATCAATATATATTATAGGTCCCGTTTGAGATGGATGATGGTTATGATGAAGTAAGTGCACACGAAAAAAATTAGCTTATGATTAATTAAGTTTTAATTAGTATAAACTTGAAAAATGGATTTACTTGTCGAAGTAATTTTTCTATATAGGAAGTTTAGTTGTTTAGCACCATTTAGCTGTTTTAAAAACGTGCTAACGAAAATTGATGTAGAATCTGAATCTCATAATAAATGAACGGAGCCTCAGAATTGATAGAATCAACAAAATGAACTGGCCAAATCTATATTTTTTAAATGTGACCAATTCTTAATAGTCTGATCTAGTTTGATCCGATTTGTCAGCTGCCATGTCCTGTTCTCATCTACTACTACTGATGTTATCATCTCAACTAAAGAGGAGTTGAACAAACAAATTTTTAGTTCTGAAAAGAAACTATTTTCGATGCATCATTAAGCTTGGAGAAACCACTAATCCAATTAATTAACTTGCACGTTTCTTATATGTCAATAAATAACACCCCGCATGCATTTGATCTTCCATCCAAGATCGAGAGGCTCACGTACACAATCTGACAGAGGCCATATCGCAATCATTTATAACTAATGATTCCCTAGTCTTTATCAATGTATAGTTATGTCAGAAGAGAGACGTGAGTCACACAAACACGCCAATCCAACCATGCTGCATGCATACCAGGTGCTGAACTCTACGCTTCTCACGTTTTAACGCGGGAATTACTAATTCTTAATATATTTTCTTAACATATTAATAAATATATTAAATATTATAAAAATAATATATTGATTTGTTAAAATATTGTGCAAATGGTGTGAGGGGTGATGATGGGATATGCTTGCATGTTGATTTGTAGAATTAAATAAATTGTAGATAATGTTGTATGCTTGCATGAGGTTAACTATGTAACTATTACCAGCTAGTAGTTGATGATGTGATAAGATTGTATGTCGAGTTTTAGGCTTAGTAGATTATAACTTTATATAAAGTATAGATTATTTTTCTGTTATTTTCAGGGCAATCGATCATATCATACCTTGGAAATTAATACCATCAATATATACTTACTGTTATCATAATAAATTATCATAATAAATGATTAAATTGCCGTTGCAACGCATAGAGTTTCACTCAGTATATAGTACTAGTACATTGCACGTGGTGACTAAAAAAAGAATCTGCCAGTACCAATTTGCCAACACACAAAGTAGAAGTGAAGCCTAGCATTAAGCCAATAACAAATTGGTTAAACACAGCAAAAAATCCGCTTTACTTTGGAGAGCCAGCTGGAAAAAGTGATAATAATCTCCGAGGGCCAGCTGGTGTGGAAAAAAAGGAGGGAAAAATTCCCAGGCCACCAATTCTTGTCCTCAGCTTTTTGTGCATCGCACTTGCAGGAATAATAGAATTTAATACCACAGGAATAATGGACTAGTGGTCACCTGAGCGTTAATATCGTCATTCTGTCACTGTAATTGTGTTACCATGGAGTCGTAGTAAATACATCATAATGACTATAAATGTGTTTCATAGCACTAACATTATGTATATATTCACTTTACACATTTGTGCATTTTTATTCTAATATTTGAAAAAAACTAAAAATAAAATTATGAAATTGAAAGTACCTTTTGAGACATCTACACATGATATTCAAGCAGCCAAACCAAGTATTTAAAAATACATTTTGTGTTCAAAGTTTCCTTAAAAAAATATACGAAGTATATCCCAAAATGTGTTTTGCAATCCGATAGAGTAGTTTTTGGTTAAGCAGTGTATTTTACCTCGATTTAGTTAGTATCAAATAATAATATGCGCAATATTTCATATCAATATTCCATGAATTGAATATGATGTTTTTCTTAGAAGGCGTTATTAATCTCAAAAACGCATATTGCTTTTCAAGGTAGTACTCCCTCCGTAATTTAATTCATGACGCCGTTGACTTTTTAATCAACGTTTGACCATTCGTTTTATTCAAATTTTTTATGCAAATATAAAAATACTTATGTCATCTTGATGATAAATCAAGTGACAATAAAATAAATAATAATTATATAATTTTTTTAATAAGACGAAAGGTCAAACGTTTGTCAAAAAGTCAACAGCGTCATACATTAAAATACGGAGGGAGTATAAAATAGGACGTGACTACACAGCAAGTGGTAGCTGGTTTGTCTAAACCAGCTACCACTCAATCTATAAGAGGCACTATCCACCTATACTTCAAATACAATTTTCTCTTAAACTACTTATCCGATCTACGATCCGATTACACCGTTGTATTCATAACAATTAAATCTTTATAACAAGATCTCACATGATTATATTTTGATGAAAAATAATAATTTACTTTTATAATATATCTAAATTACTTTTAGATTTTACTAAATTACTTCTTAGACATATAAAAGTAATTCAATAAAGCCTAAAAGTAATTTACATATATTATAGAAGTAACTTATAACAAAAAGAAAGTAACTCTAATTAATACATTTTTTTCATTGGACGTGACTACACAGCTAGTGGTAGCTAGTTTGTACTCTATCTAGCATCTCCTTTCAACTTGAACCATGCAAAAGTTACTTCCAATTAACATTGAAGTTACTTTTAAAAATTGTTAAACTTACGTGTGTTGATCTGTGCTGATTAAATTTAATTTCTAGATAAAGTATATTTTTATCCCTACAACGAATTTACTTCTAATGTCGTGACAAAGTTACTTACGTTTTGTTTTAAGTTACTTTTATAATATATGTAAATTACTTGCAGACTTTATTGAATTTACTTTTATATGTCTAAGAAGTAATTTAGTGAAATCTATAAGTAACTTATATATATGATAAAAGTAACTTACGTATATAATAAAAGTAATTTACAAATATAAATATTTTTTCATCGTAATATAATCATGTAAGATCTTGTTGTGAAGATTTAATTATAACAAACACAATGGTGTAATCAAATTGTAGATCGGATAAATAATTTGAGAGAAAACTTTGTTTGAAGAGAAAAATGACATGGGAGAGAAAACTGTAGCCTTTCTCTCTGTGACTCTCTTTGAAGCAGGAATTGCGTGTGCGTGTGGTTGGAGATCGGACGGCTCTGCCAGCATCGCGCAATAGCGCTAAAACGAGAGGGGCTCTCGAATTAGATTTTACGTATAAAATAGTGGCGAGAGGAGTCGTTTTCGCACAGACATGCAACTTAAAGAAGTCGCTCGCGCATGAGCCCACAAGCATAGGCTGGTTTCTCACGTGGCCCGCTAGGCTTTTGTGAGGCTAAAAGTGTACCAAACGAAGATGTGGAGTCTTGATTTTTAATCTCTAAATACTTTTAACTAAAAAATTAAAATTTTCTGTTCAACTTTTCAAACTTCCAACTCAAATCCTAAACTTTTAACTTTACATATAAAACTCTCAACACGAGAATGATGAAATTACCTGGAAGTTCACGAGTCATGGAGAATACTCGGCATCCTTAGCCTACAAGGTGCAGTTCTTGGGGTCGCTAAAAACAAACTTTGACACCTTAATTTGGAAAGCTTGGGCCCACGCAAGTATAAAACCTTCGCATGGCTAATAATCTAAAATTGGGTCTGGACCTCGGACCGGCTGGCGATCAGGGGCTGGCAAAACAACGGCGTTTGTCCCCTTTGCCGGTGCACAGATGAGACATCCCTACATCTGCTGGCGGATTGCAGATATACAAGGAAAATCTGGGATGCCATTGCTACTTGGGTTGCCTGTGAACCCATCATGCTGATAAACTGAGCGCAATTGACCACAACACATCACTGGTGGGAATCACTTGAAACACGTCAAGAAGCACCCAAGCATGGGACTCGATTCTTAATCCTCATAATCTCTTGGGAAGTTTGGAAGGAGCGAAACCAACGAATTTTCCAAAACAAGGAGCTAACCACGGTGGCCCTAATCGCGAAGATAAAGGAAGAGGCGAAATCTTGGGCTATGGCTGGAGCCAAACACCTAGCAGAGATTCCCGACCGTGATGCTGTAAATATTTTTTTCCTTACCTGTAAAAAGAAAATTTCGAACGAAAGGCAAAGCTTGCCTATTCTTTTTAAATATACTATATCCGATTTTGAAAACTTTCAGCTTAAACTTGAAAACTTTCAAATTACGACATTTTCAACTCGAATATGAAAATATTCAAGTCAAATTTGAAAACTTTCAACTCAAATTACAAAAATTTTCAACTGATATTTAAATTTTAACTTTCAATTCATGATTTAAAATTTTCAACTCAAATATTTTTAATTATTAAAAATATGTCTATCGCTAATTGCCATTAGCATTAAGCATGCTGGGAGGCGATTAACGTTACACGCGTCGGAGATGCCGCGTTGGCGGTGCACACCATCGATCCTCTCTTGGCGCAGGTGCGCGCGCTTCGAAAGTGCCAGCGATGTACAAACCCAATGGGCTCAGTGCTCAACGAGAGGCATTTTAGACTGGGCTATAGCCCATCGAATGAAGCTAGCCAAATCCTGGCCCGGTAATGCCCGGCCCAACAATCCGAAATATCCAGTGAAAGGCAGGCACCTGCTCGCCGGCCGTTTGCTTAAGAGTGAAAATTAAGTCTGAACATTTCTCTTTAAGTGCCAAGAGAGCCATTCAAGATCATTTTGTCATATATTATTTTTTTGATTCGATTTGCTCTCCAATTTTCTACTCTGTTCGGACCATTCCAGCAAAAGTGTGTCATTCTGGTCCAAGATAGCTATGGACCATTTTAGCTTGCTACGTGGCGTTGATGTGACATGCCATACAAATGCGAGATTTTGGACTATTTGCCACTCTATTGAATGGCACATTCTCAAATGCTATCCATCTTTCCCAGTAAATTTGATTGTTTGTCATCGTGATTCACCAAATTGTTTCTATTTTATCACTTTTGACGGCCAACATACTAAAAGAAACAGAAAATGACCTCACTGCCCCTCTCATATCTTCTCTTCTTCCTCTCCGGCGTGGGAATCCCAGGTACAGTTGCAGTTGGATGGATGACACAAGCCTCCGGTATTTTTGACGGTGAGGTCGTTGATGAGCGAGGATATGTCGAGGCCACCTTGACCACAAGCGAGATACTCGTGCTGGTGAGAGAGCATACAACTTGACAGCTTGACCCACGCTGGCTCCTGCCCTCCTGTCGACGTTTGATGTCGCGATTCCGGTATTCGCATGGTATGGGGATCATTGGTACTAGGATATACACGAGACTGAGGTAAAAGAGATGGAGATAGGGATTTTTATACAGGTTCGGGCCCCTGAATTGTCAGGTAATAACCCTACATCCTGTTGGCTGATGCCGGTCATTGCTCTTATTCATCATAATCACACTAGTACAATATTTGGGGTAGTCTATCTAACTGTTGTCGATATGGCGGTCTGAAGGTCTGACTCGTAGTTGACAACAGGGTAGCCTTCCTCCTCGAGTTCGTGCCCGGCGAGATCAAAGATAGCGCTTTCGTCTCTCCTGACAGTATCTGGAGACACCGTAGGGGACTAGCCGTGCTTATCCCTGAAATCGATATCCGGCATCTTGTCTTGGCGTATGTTGGCTTGTATGTTGATCTTGTGTCTTGATATATTGTTTTGTGTCTTCTATGGTGGGTGTGTGTTGATCGTCTGTATCCCCTCTCCTTTTAGGGGGCCTTGTATTTATACCCATAGGTGTCCCCTTGTCCAAGTAGAACTAGGGAAACCAATATGGATACAATCCGAGTAGTCCTTATCGTTTCCATGTAGAACTCTGGTTGTCTTTTCTTATCCGGAACTCCTCCTATATCCGCAGGTTGTTTCCGTATAGGACATGGTAAGTGGTGGGTCATGCCGAGATTTAGTCAACTACTATTAGGTATGTGGTATCCATAACCCTGACACCTCCCCCCCGGGTGCCCCACCTCCATTTGCGTTGCTTCTCTCAAGTTCACAAGATTTATGCGAGGTAGAGGGCCTGCAACCGAGATGTATTGCCTTCGCCCCGACGACCCAACGGCGAACCATCAAGCATCGTCACATCCATTGCTCGTCCTGCTGCCCCAGCTCATTCATGGCAATAGTTGTCCCTACTGCTTGGCTTGTCCCATGTTGGAGACTGGTTCATGCCATGTCGGAGAGGAAGATGGTAGAAGGAAGATGAATGAGAGGGGCAATGTGGTCATTTTCTCATCGTTTTGCTGAGTTGTTAGTTAAAAAATGGTAAAATAGAAACAACTTGGTAGGTCACAATGGCAAATAATCAAAGTTAATGGGAATGATGGCATTTGAGAATGCACCATCGAAGAGAGTGATAAATAATCCAAAATCCCCACAAATGCTGACGTGGCACCAGCAATATCTCTATATTGACTGACAACTGGGGCCCACTTGGAAAAGTTTTCTTTCCTTTTCTCCTTTTTCTTTTTTCCATTTTCCTCTCTTCTTTCCCTTTCTTCTCTCTCTTTTTTTCCCTCTTCTTTAGTTGGACAAGCAGAAGTGGCATGCCACATCAGCATCCGTGTGGTATGCCACACCAGTGTCACATAGCATGCTATAATGGTCCGTAGCCATCTTGGACCAGAATGACACACTTTAGCAAGTTATGGGACCTGAATTAGCATTTTTAGAGTTCGGGGATCTAGATGACACAGTGACACAAGTTCTAGATGACACGTGATACAAGCTAAGTGACCGGTCGTACACTTTACTTAAAAATAAAGAAAATCAAAGCGTCTTATAATATGAAACGAGGAAGTAAATATTTGTATGGAAAAAATGCAAGATTTTAGTATGCATCCAATAAAATTAATTAAGCTAGCTAAGCTAGTAGCTAGGTATCCATTCAATCCGGCAAACATGTAATCACATCATAGAGAACAGAAGCTTTTATTTATATCTGAATAGTTAAGCTAGCAGGCAGGCAACAGACCAAGCTTCAACAACGCTAGAAGGGCAGTAATTAACTAGCTCGAGTAGCCGGTGTGAAAAACACACAAAGAAACGAAGCAATTAAACCAGCTAGTACTCATGTTTCCTCGCTTCGATCGATCGATCATGGCGCCGCGGCGAAGCCGGCGACCATCTATGGCTTTGCCTCCACCTCCACAGGCGGGAGCTTGGGGAACTTGAGGAATGGATTCTTCTTGATCAATGGCAGCAGCTTCTTGAACAGCTCGGGGTCAGCCTCCGCGTCGTCCTGCATCGCCACCTTCTTCTCCTCCGCCGGCGGGTGGTAGATCGGCGGCGACGGCGTCGGCAGCGGCTGCTTGTACACCGGCGTCGGGTGAGAGTACGCCGGCGTCGGGTAGGAGTACACCGGCGGCGCCGGGTGCGTGTACGACGGCGGCGGCTTGTGGTACGCCGCCGGCGCTGGCGGCGACGGGTTCTTGTAGTGGAAGAAGAAGTCCTTCTTGTGGAACGGGTCGCAGAGGAACGCCGACGCGCACTCCGACGACGGGAAGTGGGTGTCGCCGGCGACGGCGACGAAGGTCTTCTTCTTGTCGGCGGCGGCGTTGACGATCCACGACGGCTCCTGCCCGGGGCATGGCTGGTTCGACGCCGCGCTGTGCAGCTGCGCGAAGCATTGCTGCCTCAGCTCGCCGTCGTCGCCGAGGAGGTCCGCCGCGAGGGGCACGGCGAACGCGCCAGACTTGCCGACCTCGCCGGTGGCCTTCGTCTCGTACTCGCCGTTGCTGTTCTTGCACTTGATCGCCACGCGAACACCTGAACAAAATCAAGAATAAAAATGCAGCAGCATTTTCAACACAAAATATATACACAATATAAAAGAATATATTCAATGATAGATTTAATGAAATTAATTTGGTGTCATAAATATTGCGATATATATTTTTAATATAAATTTGGTTTAATTTAAAAAAAATTGACTTAGGACAACCAAAAACGTCTTGCATTTATGAGAACTTAGAACAAGCATTTTTCAGGTAGTAGTTTAAATAAATGACAATGATTAATTGGACCATATTGCGTGATTATTTATGATATCAACATACCCTTGAAAACGGCCTCAGCTTTCATGTTCTTCCTGGTGCAGTCGGCGCACTTGGCCAATCCGACGACCATGGACGCCGCCGCCGCGGCGTCGCCGTCGGCGGCAACGGCGAGCACGTTCACCAGCAAGACGGCGGCGCAAACGCCGAGGACTAGAGCCCTTGGCAGAGCCCCCATTGCTGAAGCTCACAAGAGATATATGATGATCAGCAAGAAGTAGTGGATTGGGAGATGAGCAAGAAGAGAGGCAGTGATGGGTTTATATAGTGATCAAGAAGAGCATATGCATGCAAAGCTACATGCAATATTATGTTCATATCCATGCAAGTGCAACAGAAGCATTTGGCATATGCAGGAGAGAGTAAATTAAATTGCAACTAGGTAGATGGTGTGTTAAATTAAACTGCGACTAGCTAGGTAGTAGATAGTAGTGATCAGCTGAGCTACCAGTTCAATCAGGCACCGGCTTTGCAGATTGTTAGTAAATGTGCCGTTAAAAGTTGATGATTGTTCTCTCTGTTTTCTCAGATCTGCAATTCTTGCCATTGTGCATCTGGCACTGGGCAACTTAATTATCTTTCCTTTAGGGCAATGCATGCAGAGATGCATGAACAATTAACTGCAAGTTTGCAACAACAATTGGCTGCATTGAAAGAACAGTTATTGTTGAGATTGTGTTGGAAGTACAAGGGGTGTATTTGCAGCATGGCCGGAGATTTTAATTTGGTCCCAGGTTTAACTTGAATTGTTCAAGTTGAATAACTGTTACATCTGTGGCACTGCTACATCTGTGCCACATTCTGTAGGTCACCATAGAGAAAGAAAGGTATTCATGTCTTCAGTTCAGCAGTATATGTAGGTACTATTAAAGAGATGTGGTGGATTCTGGGTATTCATGTATATATTGTTTTTTAACCTCAAATTTGACTGCTAGATCCAACAGTTTATAATGAAAATTTAACCAAAATGTTATCAATTGATCCTGCTTGGTTTTGGGCCCTCTGTCCTGTTGCCCTGTTGGTCCTCTTGCTGTTAATATTTTAAAACTAACCTTTATTTATTGTGTCGCTGTCAAAAAGAGGGTTATTGTAACATTTCAGTTTAATTCAATTATATTAATTCAGATATTCCAAATGAACTTCTCAGTGGTTTACTGAATTTCTGGAAAGTGTTTTCCTACTTTAACAATCTGCTATATATGTTGAAGGAACAACTATACTGTTGACTTTAATGGAATCTCATTGCAGTTTAGATGTGTTTAATGGCAAACTTTAAAAGTTTTCGATATTAATGTCCTTTTAAATATTTAGAATGAATTAAAAAAAATACTGTTAGTATAATTTTATCAGCATTTTTAAATACCTTGCAATAGAAATTGACGGTGAAACTTTTATCTTGAAGACCATATATACTAATATATATCCAAATCAACAGTTTCTTTTCCCAAGGAGTTTAGATGGTAACGTGTAACAAAATTTGAAACAGCTAAAATCTTTTTTCAAAATTTTATCATGCTGGTATTTATTGGGTTTTCTTTTCCTGTTCCTGTTGTGCCATTGCCAAAATAGTTTAAAAAGGAATTAAAGTCAAATATAAAATTTCAAATAACATTTCATAAAGAAAATGATCTGCAATAAGAAGTTAATTTACAAGTCTTTTGCAGCAATAGTCTACCCACCAGTTGAGCTGGCCGATGGAACTGCCTGTCCATTTGTTGGGTTATTTTACCTAGATTTTTTTCTACCATGGCTCGTTTAACGGTCCATCCTCTAGAACCGAACCCAGCCTAGCCCATCTGACAGTGTGTTCAGGGCAGGGTTGGAAATTTCGGACCGAAATTTCGGTCACTTCCGATACGATATTATTTTGGCTGAAATTTTTTATTTTTTAAATTTTTTTCATAAATTTAGGTAATATTTGTTTAAATTCAACTAAATTTTACTCAAAATTTCGGAAATTTTAGACCGAAATTTTTAAAATTTCCGAAATTTCGGAATTTCGGTGACCCCCGATATAAACGGCTCAACCGATAGAGTGAACCCTGTTCAGGGGATGGTGGGCTTGCGGCTCGTGTGACGCCGCTTGGACAATGCACCGTACGTGCTCCGTGCGGAGGAGGACGTACGGCGGCCCCGCCGACCCGGTTGATGATATCCCACGGCAGTTGCGTTGGTCATCGCCGGCAAAGTCGCCGGCCAGGGCCCATCGCAACCGCACCGTACCTTGTAATTTTATTGTCCGCACCGCACTGGACGTGTGTAACTGTGCGTGTACACATGGTACTCCTAATTATTTTACTCATGTGATGTGATTCAATGAAACAATATATAATTATATATAGTATTCCCTCCGTTTTAAAATAGTTGACACCATTGACTTTTTAGCACATATTTGACCGTTCATCTTATTCAAAAATATTTGTGAAATATGTAAAACTATATGTGTATATGAAAGTATATTTAACAATGAATCAAATGATATAAAAAAAATAAATAATTACTTAAATTTTTTAAATAAGACGAATGGTCAAGCACGTTATAAAAAGTCAATGGTGTCAAATATTTTGAAACGGAGGGAGTACTAAGTAAACAATATACTCCTACTATCATTTTGCCCCTGCAAAAGAGAAAGCATATGCTCGATCTTTTGTGATTCAATTAAACCGTACGTGAGTAAAAATACCAGAGTCCTACGAGGACTTGAGTACAACATTACTAGTGGATCATATTGTAATTGTAGTGCATATAATGGAAGTAATCTTTTTATCGACCAGATCTCGTAGTAATTTAGTTACTAACTTATCAAATGAGATTGGCAAGAATAATGGATAGTAATATTTTTATGAAGTACTAACACTACTACGTACAAATCAGGTTTTTGCTAGCGTCCAAATCAGGTTTTTGCTGGTTTTCATTGGCCTTGCCGACCGCCAGCAAAAATTGACTTTCGCAGGTGGCCAAGCTAAGAAGGCCGCTAGCGAAAAAAACTAGTTTCACTGTACAATAGGTAAAGAGACCCGCCAACGAAAATATTCTTATAGGAGGAAAAAAATTAAAATGGAAAAAAAATTAAAATCAGGATCCACAATTAATGTCCCAAATCCTTATCCCAAATTCACATGCATCAACACAAGCTTCCCAAATTTGTTATTGCCGAGCAGTAGGAAGCAGGAACCCAAGCTGAAGTTGTCGTCGTCGCCACCATCACCGAGCTGGCCGCAACCCTAGCCACCGAGGGTAACCATTGCCGAACTACGCGTGGAGCCATCGCCACCGAGGGCCACCGTCACCGAGCTTACACGTGGAGCCGTCGTCGCCGAGGGCAGCCATCTCCTTGGACTACCACCGCCACCAGATATAGCTAGACATCTGGCGGTCCCAAGCACCGCCACCGCTAGATCTGGTGGTCCGGTCTCGATTACCGTTGTCTTCGTTGTCCAAGATGCACATGCATGATGTTGATGGAGCTCTTGAGGTTCTGCGTGGCAGAGTAGGCAGAGAAGACGAACCATCGCCGTGGTAGCCATTGTCGTCCCGGCCTTGCCAACTCGAGCCGTCATGGTCATCAGGGCCATCCTCAACCTGAAGCAGTCGTGTCCCCTACGCTTTGCCACCGCCTCTCCCCTTCACCGAGTAGCCATCGCCCCCACCCTTTGCTGCAAACCGGCCGCCACCCCTTCCCCGCCACTTATTCTTCGCGAGGTGTGCACCGTAGGACGGCGAGGAGTTCGCGCAGTCCTGGGCCTCCTAGCCACCCCTTCCCCGTGCTGCAACAAACATCAAGAGAGAGAAGGGAGAGGAGAGGATAATACGATGCAACTGTTGGTTCAGTAGTAGGTTTTGCAGGTGGTGTTCATTACTCCGCCATTAAAAAATCAATTCTTAATGGCAGGGTGTTAAGAGCACCACTCACAAAGATAGAGGTATTTTTACAAGCGGTGCTCTTATTAAAATCCCACCTGCAAAAATTATTTTTACTGGCAGGGCTAGGTTTTTAGACCACTCTTCCATTTTCAGGGGCAAAGCTTTTTAGATCCACCACTGGAAATAAAACTCAATTGTCATAAAAATCGCTTTTTGGTAGTGTCACTGCTACAAAACTCCTCATAGGTATCAACTCATAGGTACCGCCATCCTCTCCTCTCTCTCGCAACCGCTCCTCCCCGTCTGTAGTCGCACATCCCCTCCTCCTTGTCATCTCTCTCTCTCTCTCTCTCTCGCACAACCCTACCCCTCCCCCTTCGTCCCTCGCTCCCTCCCTCTTCTTCCCCCACCTGGCCGGGAGGCTGCCAACGGAGGAGAAATAGGTCAAAGGAGGTACCTCTGCACCCAACGCTAGGGCGAGGCCGCGTCAGAGATGAGTTGCCCATCGGTGGAGTGAGGAGGAGGGGAGAAGGTGCCTAGGGTGAATGGTGGTGGTGTTTATGGTAGGGTGAGGGCGTGTTGAGCGGTCGGGCGGAGCATGCCACTGGTGAGAAGTCGGAGGTGGCGTCGATCACGACCACGACCACGGGGCCCGAGGGGAAGACGGTCAAGAAGTGTGCCAACGTGTCCGGCGAGCTCAGGCATGCCAAGCGGGACAAGTGTGAGAAGGCGGGGCACGATGGTAGGTGTGACGTACAGTAGCGGGGGCGGAGCATAGCGGTCAGCGGCGCCGCATGTTCTCCCGATTTGTGTGTAAGGCATCCCAAATTTCTCCCGATCTTGATTGGTTCATGTTTTTGGGATATATTGGTTGGTGTTTCTAGGGATGGATTAGTTGATTATTGGTTAAAATTTCTCGCCGATATATGTCTATTATTGGTTGATTGGTTGTTGTTGGATGCAAAGATGCTGCTCTTTTTATAGGGATGGATTGGTTAACAGATCCACCCGCGAAATATATTTTTGCATGTGGGTCTTTTAAGGAGCCGTACGAAAAAAATGCATGCCGGGTTTTGCAGGCACAACTAGTTACGATGATCCGCCTGCAACCTACGGGGGGCTCTTGTCCAGAAAAATCATTTTTTTAGTAGTGTGCATAATATGAGATGTTAGACCTATGACAGTTTGAAGTCACTTTACAGCTCAAAGAAGGATCTAAACGTTTCTAAAAAAAGGAAGCATCTAAACAGAATATTGGACGATAAAGACGCATTTGCCAACTTTACTCATATATTCTGTTGTTTTAAGCATATATGCTGATACGCGACTGGTTCCCTTCCACTCTACCTATATGCCATACGTTTTTCTCCTTTGTACAAATCTTCAGTTCACAATTGCTTTTCATACCTAGATTTCAAATAATTTAAGTGAAACATATAAAACTTTTTAACTCCTCAAACTTTCAACTGAGATCACAAACATTATACCAAAATCTAAAAC